GTGCACGTGTGTGTGTGTGTGTGTGTGTGTGTGTGTGTGTGTGTGTGTGTGTGTGTGTGTGTGTGTGTGTGTGTGTGTGTGTGTGTGTGTGTGTGTGTGTGTGTGTGTGTGAGTGAGAGTGTGTGTGTGTGTGAGAGAGAGTGTGTGTGTGTGTTTATTTTATTTATATTTTATTTATTCAGGATATAACAGAGGAGTAAAGAGGAATATCATAAAGCAAGGGTTATAACAAATCAACTTAAAAGCTAAATATAATAATAAAAATAGAAAAATAATTACAGATAAATATCATAGTTACATTATTTTCATTTGTAGTTTTTATTTCCAGTATTTTCCATTTACTTGCTTTTACAGTTGAGATGTCTTAAGAGCTTTACAAGGGCTGTGAACCGAAACCAAGGAATAATAAAAACACCAACAATAATAAATCATCAAAAATAATAACAATCAAAACATCAACACTGTTTATAAACATCCCAATCAACAACGAGGAAAATCAACATTAATATACATCATCATCATCATCATCATCATCATCATCAACATTAATAATAAAATGAGCTCATTTATTCATTTTCCTTCAGCTCAGTCCCTTTATTAAGCAGAGGTCGCCACAGCGGAATGAACCGCCAACTATTGCAGCATATGTTTTACACAGCGTATGCCCTTCCAGCTGCAACCCAGTACTGGGAAACATTAATACACACTCATACACTACGGCCAGTGTAGTTGATCAGTTCCCCTATAGCGCATGTGTTTGGACTGTGGGGGAAACCGGAGCACCCGGAGGAAACCCACACCAACACGGGGAGAACATGCAAACTCCACACAGAAACACCAACTGACCCAGCTGAGACTCAAACCAGCGACCTTCTTGCTGTGAGGCCACAGTGATAACCACTGAGCCACCATGTCACCCAGTTATAATATAATACCAACAATAATGTAAACCATCAACAATAATAATAAAAAATCCCCATCAGCAATAACAATAATAATATAACTCATCTTTATATCAGTGTAAGTTTGAGAGGGGTCTGGCTGCAGACTCGGTGCAGTGCAATCTGAGCTGCATCCAATGCTTTTTAATGCGCTCACCTAACCCCACCCATAACAGTGACGTCACTCACAGCATTGAGGGCATTGTGTCTGACGTGGCATCACTGAGTGATGCAATCTCAGCTTGCATTATAAAGGCTGCATCCAGATGCGATTGCTGGTGCAGTTAGCATACATTTGCTTTTATAAATGTGAAACTTTCCAGTTTCCAATCCATAACCCAGAGCACTTCATGAGGGATCAAGAAGTCATAAAGACACCGGAGACACAGTAGACTAGTGTCAAACGCAACCGCTGAGTTAATGACGAGTGCTTTCTGCTGCTCTGGCCGTATATTATATGGTTGTGTATTATGTGCTTGTGTGTGTGTGAACAACCGCTGCATTGAGGAGTGTGTGGAGCTGAGATTATTATTAACCCGGCCTACATGAGGAAACCTGTGGAGAGGAGAGGTCAAAGGTCACCCGCTGCCCAGAGCTAAACCACTGAGAGCAATTACAGAGCTGACCTCATCAACTCTGACCTGCAGGGGGCATCACACACACACACACACATCAGAAACACACATATCAGACACATGCATTGCACACACATCAGAAACACACACACACACAAACACACACATCAGAAACACACATATCAGACACATGCATTGCACACACATCAGAAACACACACACACACACACACACATCAGAAACACACATATCAGACACATGCATTGCACACACATCAGAAACACACACACACACACATATCAGACACAGATATCACACACATGAGAAACACACATTCACAAATCAGATACACAGAAATACAGACACACCAGAAACACACTTATCAGAATCATACACATCAGAAACACACACATCAAACATGTAAGAAACACACATTCACAAATCAGATACACAGAAAAACGCACACACACACACACACATCAGAAACATGCATACACATATCATAGACACACATGCTTGCACATATACACACACACTTATTCAACACACAAATGTGCACACACACACACACACACACACACACACACATCAGACACAAATACTGTATATGCACACACACACACACTTATGAGACACACAAATATCCCGCACAAGCTTACTCACACATATCAGACAGACATATATACACATGCGCACATGAGACATGAATATCACACACACACATCAGAAACATACACATGCATCAGACACACAAATATACACACACTAGAAACAAATATACAAACATGCATACATATAAACACACACATATAAATATACTCACACACATATAAATGTATGCTCACACACACTAGAAACTCACATATATGAACACATACAGTAAAAACACGCATACACACACTTCAAAATCATATGCACATGCATACACGCATAAATATATATATATATACACACACAACATATATTTGCATACACATATATAAA